TGTTGATTAGGGCCGGGAGGAAAGTATTGTTGGGTTGGTTCCCTACCTGTGTTTTCCCTCCCCACCCACCCTTTGCATGCATTTCCGAGTTGGTACAGTGCCACGTCAGCAACAGTGCCACGTCAGCAACAGTGCCACGTCAGCAACAGTGCCACATCAGCAGTGCCACGTCGGTCACAGTGCCACGTCAGCAACAGTGCCACGTCAGCAGTGCCACGTAAGCAACAGTGCCACGTCACAATGCCACGTCAGCAGTGCCCCGCCACCATGACGGGCGCAGCTCTGGGGATGCCAGGCCAACTGGCCAACAAGTCTATTGCCGACTACAAACAGCGGTTCCAGACTTAGCTTGCAATGATCGAGGCTGAGGAACAGCGCCAGCTGGCAGCCGAGGCTGCCCGCCTACAGGCTGAAGCAGCAGCAACAGCTGAGAAGCAGCGGCTACAGGCCGAAGCAGACGCAGATACCCAGGCTCGCCGCAAGGAGGCCCAGATCTGCTGCAGCGGCATGAAGCCGCCAGCATCGAAAGACCCAAGTTCTGGCACTTTGAACCGTCCAACGGCGACGACGCGACACCGGAGGAGCAGCACAAGGAGTTCCTCTCCAAACTCGTGACACGGTTGTTATACGCTTGCAACTATCAACAGTCCGAGTTGGAGAGACAGAACCAGGAACTGCAGCAACAGTACCAGGATCTGCAGAAACAACACCAGGAGTTGGCGAACCTCTGCCGGACAGTGCAGAGCCACGAGGATGCTACACGGGCACTCAATTCCCGTGTACTGGAACTGGAGCAAGCTGTACCAGGACCAGATGCTGGTGTGTCCAGGAGTGCACCCTTCAACCGCCAACTGGAGGAACGTGTTGACCACGTCGTCGCAATGCTCGGCGACATCAGCACCTTCGGTGAGCCGACCACTATCAGCAATCAGCTGGATACCTTGAAGACCGAGGTCCAGCAACTGCAGTTGCCTAACAAGAATGGCAACAACACACAACATTACAAGATGCCAACTTTTCAAATTGAGAAGTTCGATGACTACACGCATCAGGACCCGGTCCTCTGGTGGGAAGGTTTCACGACGCATCTTCGGATTTTGTTAGTCGCCAAGCACGCGTCCATCGGCGCCCTGTTTCTTAACTGAAGGGCGGATGCCAGGTCTGGTTAACCCACCTGGCAGCCACCCATGGCGTCGACGCCGCAGATTTGAAAGACAAGATCACATGGGAAGAGTTAACACGGCTGTGGAAGAAGCGGTTCATCGTGGACGACGCACCTGCACTCGCCATCAATCGTCTCTTCAACATGACGCAAGGCAACACAGCAACACGTGACTGGCTCACGGAATGGCAGAAGATTGCGGCAACGCCCGATCTCGACTTGCCATTCACGCATCTGCGTCGTGAGTTCTACAACAGGTCATGCGCTGCATTGAGCCTTGCTCTTGGTGATCGCGACCAGTATGCAACCTTCGCTGAGAACATTGACAAGGCGAGGGAGATCATCAAGACCAACAGGGCGGCTGCACACGAGAAGTCAACATGGCAGCCAACCTATGTGGAGAAGGTGAGAACTGGTCCGCAACAGCAGCAGTTCGTTGCAGTCCGATCGGACAACACTGTGGAAGACCCGGCAGCCATCGAAGCGTCACGTGAGGGAGATCAGGTGGCTGCTGTCCAGCCGTGAAGCAACATCAAGTCCCGAGGAAACGGGAAGGCGAAATCAGCATCGCAGGCCGGAAACGGACAGCCAGCACCACCATGGGTAAAGTTCAACTTGACCGAGGCCGAGTACAAGTACCGCGGCCGTTACGGCTGCTGTTACTGGAACAACAGCACCAAGCACAAAACCTCCCTTTGCCAGGATCAGGCCAAAGAGGATGTGCGGCCTCGTCTTAACTCGGGAAACTGAGTTTCGTGGGAGGTGAGGCGACTTCACCTCCCACTCCGCCAGATTCGGCCGTCTTGCTAGCGGCCTCCTACACATCTGGGGAGGATGCGAATGTCGTAAGTTCTCGGTATGCCTACGAGGATTATGTTGTCCACTTGGTCCCACCGCTGGACCAACCGCTCCACGTACAACAATCTACCGCATGCACGGTTTCATCACCATCGGCAACCGGGGATTCAACGTCATGGTCAAGACTGGAAGAGCTCGACCCGTTGACATTTGCGGACTTCCAATGGATGCCCCTTCCCCGGTCCGGTCGATTGCCGAAACCGCATTGCAACGTGCTCAAGGCACAATTGCGGGATTACTTGCACACTGCAGTACCAACTCCGTTGATGGACGCCGGAGTAGAGGTTGTCGACCGTCACGCCTACATTGCGAAGATCGACCGCGAGTTCAAGACGCAACGGTACGACGACATCGACGCACCATTGCTATATGTACGCATTCAGATCGGAGAGGCGACCTGCACCGCTTTGATCGATTGCGGAGCATCTCGCAACTACATGAGTTAGGACTTCATGGTACGCGCCGGCCTTGGCCCACGAGTCCGAAGGAAGTCCCAGCCCACGCAAGTCACGTTGGCGGACGGTCACAAGCACAAGTCAATCGACCGGTGCATTGAGGACGTCCCAGTGTACTTTGCCCCTCACGCAAGTGAGGCGGTGTCCTTTGACATTCTGGACACCAAATTCGACATGATCTTGGGCATGTCATGGCTGCGAAGCGAGGATCACCCAGTGAACTTCTACCGCCGCACCGTTCACGTTCGTGATCAGAACGGAGTACTAGTCCCATGCACGGTAGTTCCTCCTCACCCTTCAATCAGTTGTCACGTGGTATCCGCCGCAAGCATGTGAGCTTCCATCATCAGAGATGACATCGAGGAGATGGGGGTGTGTTTTCTCCACGCCCTCCCACCCCATGACGCTTCACCGACGGACTCATCTTCGGATCCACGCATCATCGAGCTTCTCGACGCCTACGACGATGTGTTCAAAGGCCCGCACGGAGTAGTACCGGATCGGCCCATCCGCCACGAGATCATCCTCGAGGACGGGGCCGTACCTCCGCGCGGTTGCATCTACCGAATGAGCGAGGAAGAGTTAAGCGTGCTACGGGCACAACTTGACGATCTTCTAGAGAAAGGTTGGATAAGGCCTAACTCATCGCCATACGGTGCTCCTGTTCTCTTCGTCTGGAAGAAGAACAAGGATTTGCGGTTGTGCATCGATTATCGCAAGCTCAACGCGCAGACGATCAGAAACGCCGGCCCTCTCCCACGCATCGACGACCTTCTCGAACGACTGGGCGGTGCCAAGTTCTTCTCCAAGCTGGACCTCAAGTCGGGATATCACCAACTCGAGATTCGGAAGGAGGATCGCTACAAGACCGTGTTTAAGACGCGATATGGGTATTTCGAATGGCCGGTTATGCCATTTGGCCTTACGAATGCCCCGGCCACTTTCCAAGCGGCTATGATAACGGAGTTTCGACTTATGCTGGATCGATACGTACTTATCTACCTTGATGACATCCTGGTGTACAACCGGAGTTTGGATGAGCATGTGGAACATCTGCGCACCGTTTTGGAGCGGCTACGACAAGCCAAGTACAAAGCCAACCGCGACAAGTGCGAATTCGCGCGGCAGGAGCTTGAGTACTTGGGACATTATGTGACGCCGCAAGGCATCCGTCCGCTTGCGGACAATATCGAGGCCCTCCGTGTATGGCCCGAGCCCACCAACACCACGGACGTTCGGTCATTCATGGGGTTGGCGGGCTACTATCAACGATTCATCACCGGATACTCGAGGATTGTTGCACCTATGACGAGATTACAATCGCCGAAGGTGCCATTCGTATTCGATGACGACGCACACCGGTCATTCCAAGCACTCAAGACGACCATGCTCATTGCACCCGTCCTTAGCATCTATGACCCCACCCTGCCGACGAGAGTGACTACGGACGCTTCCGGCTATGGCATTGGGGCAGTCTTGGAACAGCACGACGGCGACGACTGGCACCCTGTGGAGTTTTTCAGCCACAAAGTGCCTCCCATCAACTTGCTTGATGATGCAAGGAAGGAGCTGCTCTCATTCGTCATGGCTCTCAAGCGATGGTGGCACTTCCTCCTTGGGCATCGTAGGTTCACATGGGTTACGGACAACAACCCATTGACTTACTACGAGACGCAGGATACGGTGAGCAGCACGATCGGACGATGGATGTACTTCATCGACCAATTTGACTTCACACTGAAACATTTTCCCGGCCTCTCCAATCGTGCAACAGATGCTCTCTCGCGAAGACCTGATCTTTGCGGTATGACACATCATGCCTTCGCATTTGACGAGGAGCTCCAGCGACACTTCATCAGGGGTTATGAGTCCGATCCAGACTTCGCCACGCTATATGCGCAGCTATCTTCGGATCACCCGCCGGCCAGCCACTATCGCATCGTCGATGGGTACTTGCTCCTGCACTCGCGGGGCAAGGACTTACTATGTGTCCCACGCGACCGCCGTCTTCGGACTCGCCTCCTCGGCGAGTATCATGATTCGCGACTCGCCGGCCATTTTGGAGTCAACCGCACTATTGCACGGCTTCGCCAACGATTTCGATGGCCCGACCTCATCACCGACGTCACGAGGTATTGCGACTCTTGCGAAGTTTGCCGACGAAGCAAACCCCGCAACCGCAACCCCTACGGCGAGCTGCGCCCGATGCCGATCCCGCAGGAACCCTGTCTCTCCATTGCTGTGGATGTCACCGGACCATTCCCACGCGACCGCCTCGGACACGACGACATCCTCACGGTCGTGGACCGATTGAGTAAGTACGCGCGTTTTCTCCCTTGCAAGTACTACTCCACGGCTCCCGAGCTGGCACACCTCCTGCACACCGGCTGGATTTGCGGCCGTGGTGTACCGGAAGACATAGTCAGCGACCGCGACACTCGTTTCATGTCGGCATTTTGGATTGCACTCATGCAGTAGTC